ACTTTTCTTAACTAATGTATATCTTTTTGTATTTTTTTATTTTTCAGCACAGTGTTAGCTGTGGATTCTGGACTTACATGGATGATGAAAAAATATAAATTTGTTGATTTCGTGAAGTAATTAAAATCAAAATAGGATGCATTTGGTTTTCAGGTTTTATACTAATGAAGACAAAAATGATTACTAACAATTGCTTTACACAGATAAAACCAAGGTAAAGAGTGGGCTGTATGAACAAGAGATAGAAGACTATTATCTAATGTTAATTATTAAAAACATGATGTTAGGTACACATATAAATTTGTTGTCCATTAGAGTTTTTAAATAATCCTATGTGGGTAGTTGTGGTATTGACATTATTATTAGAGCCAGGGTAAAATTTAGATTGGTATGACTAATTCATGCAAGTGCATGGGCTGATTTTTGCTGTGTACAGTCCGGCACCAAATTATGTTGTTAGCACAAGATGGCAACGTCCACATCAGCAATGGGTGGTGGCTGATTGGATCAAGCGACAGTAGGTGGATGTTCTATTTTATTTCGGTGTTATGCGATGTGAAGGCTGCTCGGTCGTAATCAGTTATGACATAACTATTAACAGCTTGACCATCTGTAGGCACAGGCAATGGTCCCAACGAAAAAAAATATTTTTCCAGGAGTTTCCCCTCTATATGCACAATTTGACTAAAATGAACAATGGTTTTCAGCCATTTCAGTAGTAACCAATCACCAGTCACAAGTCAACATAGTATTCTTTTCGGTAGCACTAACTTTTTATTTTCATGTGTATTCAAACTTTCATGTGCTTATGATATTGTAATGCTTTAATCTACAAGCAGTATTAATGTAATACATAATATAATTAACTTCATACCTGATGTGTTCCACTTGTAGAAGATTTTGCATTAATAGCTTTTTTTAGGTGTGTTAAGGGGGCATGCATTCTGTACAGCAATATCTTAATTCTGTCAATCTAGTATCCAGACAGGATAACATAAGCAGAGCACTGTTAAAGACTTTTGAACTAGCATTTAATAACATTTTTACACATTATATTGTATTTTCTGTTATAATCATGGAAATAGAAATCCGTAGTGATCAGTGTTAGAGCATTTGCATCTTGCACAATTTGAACTAGAGCTACATGTTCTTGTGAAAGACTCTGAAGCTCTACGGTACCCATTTTAATTGTCTCTCACATAATAAATAGAATGCAAATAAGGCACAATAACTCATCACATCAAATTCATATTCAGGAGTTGGACTTTTTTGTTCTCACATGCACATCAGGCAGATAATGTCTAGGAAAGTTCAGGAGTGCAGTGCATGTGTAAATCCAGCTCAAGTTATAGTACTTTAATGTCAATCCTCCTCACTGGGCAAGGGTGCATAACAGGGTACTTTTTTGGATTTTAAAAATGTTGTTTTGTTTTGTTTGAGCACTGCTAAAAGAACTCTTAACCAAAAATACATTTAGTATCCAAGATTCCTCATTTTGCTAAACAGGTTAAAGTTTAAATCGGCAGTCGGTTTGTGCAAACCTTTTAAAAAAGCAATGAATATTTTCTTGAAAAAATATTGGATATTGTTTTAAAAAATAGTTTCCTTTTAATTTTCCCACAATGAATTCAAATTATCATCATTAAATAACAGCATTTAGTTGAATTCTGAAGAAACATTTCTACTCATTTCTGCCTAATTGCTAACATTGAATGAAGAATAATTACAGTAATTGGTAGCCAGCATTCCAAGTGTATTTGCATTTGCCAAGTTATGACTCACCAAGTCTTTATATTCATATTTAACTGTTTTATTTACCCTTTTTATGTCATTTTAGTTAAAAGGATCTTTGAAAGAAAAATGTCCACAAAAAACAGGAGCACATTATTAAGTATAAATCATAGGGGTTTAGAAAATTAATGAACTGAAGCATTAATTTAGTTTGGGGGTCTAATGCTACTCTTTGTGCATGGGCTGCTGTTGTACACACAGCAGCAGTAGCCTTAGGCGGTTAAGATTTGGGTAGCACTGTACTGTTTTGTTCCTGTTCACTCTCTCTACACACCCGAGGGGGAAATATGATGTACATGTCTCATATAACTTTAAATTTAATCTGGTGTTTTTCTTATCAAACAGATAGGGCAATGTTACCTGTAAAAAAGGGTTTCTATTACAATTACGGTAAGCTGACAACAGTGCGCACATGTGTGTGTAACTGCCACGTATAGGCACATTTTCTTTCAACACATTGATTTAAACCCTATGATGATTTCTTATGGATGTTTCTTGTACAGAGACAGCAAGACTGAGAGAAAGGGGGAGAGAGAGAGAGAGAAATGGAGAGTGAACACAACTCAGCCCAAAGTGCCTTGAAAAAAAGAAGAAGGGGAAAAAAAAACAATTCAGATGACTGATTGACACAGCACCCAATTCATCACAATGAGAGATGGTGGAAAGTATCTGACAACCAAAAACCACAGTTGGAAGGTAAACATGCACACACTGCGCTTGCACACAGAAACCAACATAATCGGGTGCATGAATGCACACACACACGCGAACGCACGCGCTCATGCGCGAACGTCAAAATAGTTCAATAGCTATTACACTGTAGCTTTGTACAAATCTGGTATCAATGATTTGCTGCAAACAAAAAAAGTGTCCGCACTGTTATGCCTGTGTATGCGTGTGTGATTTGTGTGTGCACGTGCAGCAGCAGGCTTGTGTGTCTCTCCCCACCTCTCCCTACCCCTCTGTCGCTCACGTCCATAGCCATTAGTGAGGCGGCCGTTGAGGCTGCCTTGTTTTGACAGATGCTCACTGTGTCCAAATGCATCTCAGAGGACGTTATGGCGCTTGTCATACTCATCCACCCTCTCTCACTCTTTCTCTCTATTTCTTCCCTCGTCTTCTTTACTCTTACTTTTCCTGCTGTTCCTTGACCCATTCATGGGTTCAAATACAGTATTCTTGGTCCACTCTTGGTAGTAATGCTGATATATTATTCAGTGTACCCTGCACTCATTTTCCTAACCCCAGTACATATCTGTGTCTTCCTATATGATCTTACTGTGATATAGCCATATAACTCATAAGTCAAGGTTAGCACTGTGTGTGCACTCAGGCGCTCCGAGCCCCTCAAGGCCTAGATGTGGATGAACTGTAGTGAACTGAGTGGCAGGTCAGCCTTTCATTGTTTCTTTTGTGGAGGTTGGGTTTTGAAGAAGGAGGGGGAGGGTGAACAGAGTATGAGGCAGAGACGGTCTCTTGGTCATTCAAGGAGCACCCTGCCACAGTGCTGTCTCAATGCTAATCTACCTGGACACAATGAGGCTAATGCTAAACCAGACATCCTATTGGCTTTAGGACAGAAAAAGAAGCTAGTCTGGGATTTAGAAAGAAATATAAGCCGATATATAGTAACCAGTAGTTCAGTAATGTAATGCATGTATTATTAATGTATAAAAAATAACGTGTATAATTTGAACTGATTACTTTTTTTAAATAAGGGCCCCAACACTGGCAGTGACATGCTTAATGAAAACTTGACAAGATGAACCACAATAAACTCACCAGGATTATGACCTTTTGGTGCTAAATGTGAAGTAAAATGTAACACGAGCACACATTCAGTAGACTGACTGAATAGACTTTGAAGCTGAAGAATGTGACATGAGTTATTAGGTCCTGTGAAGTGGGAGCACCTGCACGTGGTAAACAAAGCTGCTTGTCATCAAGCCGAGTGCTAGTGGCATGTCAGACTGCTACCGCAAGAACTGCTGAATCCAGGCCATACGAATATTTGAAGATTTATGTATTTATTTGCTTTATGAGCAAATCAGTCAATATTGTGAAAGGAAAAAATCTTGCTCCTTAATGCAACTTGTTATGATACCTTATGTGAGAAAAGAATAATGCGTAATAGAAATCTGTCCATAATATTAATCTAGCATTTGGAATTTGGAAATAATTCTTTATTTAGCTTGGGATTGGCTGCATGGGTGGGTTAAGAGTGTTAGGGTACCTGGGTCGTTGACCCAATGTTTTCAGTTTTGTACCTTTATTTGTGTTCTCATCTTGGTTTATTACTGTGAATGTTCTGGTTTCTGTTTTGCATTTCTATTTTCCCCGGTTCTTCTTGGTTTGTGATTTTGTAGTTCTTAAGTTTGGGTTTCCATACTCCCTCTGTTCTGTGTCCAGTCGGCGTCTGTGTCTGCCCTGGTCCCACGTCTCTGTTCCTTTTGTTGCACTGTCTGCTTGTGAGTCTGTGACTGTAAGCCCAGTCTGTGTTTCCTGTTTTACTTTGAAAGTCTGTGTCTCATGTTAATGTGTCTGGTTTTACATCCTTTGTCTTGTCAGCCCTGATTTGCCCAAGCTGTGCCCCTTCTGTCTCCCATTCCCCGATTGCTTCCTCTGTGTATTTAAGCTCTGTGTTTTCCTTTGTGTTGTGATCTACCCTCGTTCTGTACTGTGTGCTCTGTTTGCTAGCCTGGTTAGTTTTTGTATTTTTTCAGTTTAGTTTTTGGTCCGGTTCACCATTAAAGCTGTTTTCGAGTTCACCTTTTTCGTCTCTGAGAGTCTGCACTTTGGGTCCACCATTCCATTTCTGCCTGCACACAGCCTTCACTTAACAAAAATGAGTTTCTAGTGAAGGAAAACACTCAGAGGAGCTCATTTAAAAGGAATAAGAAAATCATTAGATGCAAAACAACCTTCATTTTACATCCAAAGAAATTCTGAGTGAGAACTGCTCTATGGCACCCACTGCTAACAAACCGCAAAAAATGTCCATGCCAAAGTCCCCATGGCTTACAGATTCGTGCTTATCAGCTGTCAGTCAGTTAGGTCTTTCTCCCCCAAACCATGCATTCAAATCTAGAAAGATGACAGTTCCTCATGCTTGTAGATCAATATATGTGTTTGCCCTAGAGGGAGTCAAATCTGTCTGTAACAAGTCATGCTGAAACAAAAAAATTCCAATATTTTTGAAACCTGGTGGTATTTTTCAAACTTTATGGGGTCTAGATTGTTAATAAGGACAAAAAATGTTTGGAAGAAGTCCAATACTGAGAAAGATACCTACAACTGGCTACGGTGAAGCGGCTCCAATGTAATCCCACAGGGCAATTGTCATTCAAGAAAAGTGCTTGTTTTCCCAGGTTCCCAGTTGAGCAAAACGTTAACAAAAGATCCCAACAGGGACAGACCAGTACCTTGCAAAAGTCTCTAGTTACATAGTTACAGAAAATGTAGATATTGTTATTGAAAAAAACAACAAAGGCAAACAAATGGTTTATGGGTGCAGATTTCTGAGTTGTGGCAACACAATGACACACTACCCTTCACAAAGCTTTTGCAGAGTAACTTTGGGCAATGGGGACATGCCTAAGATGTGACCAGCTGTGCTACAAATTAACAAAAACACTCCTGTTCGAGCACTGCACCTTGGAAACCATCTGGTTTTGTGTGACCATTTTATCTGAGATTACTGGGGTCAATCACAGAGAACAGCAAAGCACATTTTCTACAAGAAAAATGCAAATGTACTGGAGTTAATGTTATTGCTCAAGCTATTTTGTTGACATGGCATCACTGCAATGCAAAATGCTTCCAAAAAAGGTACATTATGGAAATTGGTTGATTTTTATGATTACTTTTTACTGCTCCTTATTCAGGTACTTATTACCTGCACACTATCACTGTCTTAATATGTATTGGAACTAAATAAAATCAATCCAATCAATCAAAACCGTGGCAGGATAACTTGAAGATTACAGACATTTACGGTAAAGTATCAAATATAAACATTGTGATGTTGGGCAATAGCCCTGTAGGATTATTTTGCAGTTGCTTCAACACTGCTGGTTATTGCTCTGTAGTGAGCTGACTCCAAACATCTTTGTCCCTATTAAAAATTTAAACCCCAAAAGATGGGAAAACAGGGCCCAAGTTTTAAAAAGACCAGAATCTTTTCTTTTACCTGTATCCTCCTCAGTGCTTCTATCACTTATGCGTGCTTTTAGCCAGGCAAAAGTGACCTTGCCTTGAGGATTGAGATCTGCAGAGCTACCCCTCCACACCTCTTCTTTGTGCCTCTCCTCCAGTGCAGCCTCACTGTGGTGACTTAAGAGAGGAAAAAGGATGTCTGTGACTTTCTCACCGAGTGCCTTGTGTGTGTGTAACTGCGTGTGTTTGTGTGAGTATGAGTTGGCCGGGCTTCAGGAGGGCTGAATCACACCGTCTGGGCTCTCCGTTGGATGGACAGGACTTGGCTTAGGGCTGAGAGGGTCCTTTACGCCTCAACACACGCTCTCCCACCTAAACTCTCCTCGATCCTGCTCACAAGTGGTGGGGTGATGAGAGGAGACATGCCAATACATCCAAGATTTCAACCACTGCTGGAAAGAAGAAGGATAGAAGGGAAACGTAGGAGAGCAGACAGAGTAGATGGAAGTGAAAAGGGTGTGAGACTTCATGTGTGCATGCACATGCAAGTGCTCGCGCAAAAAAGATGGAAGTGCAAGCACTGTACTCAAGACACGTAGTGCAGGGGAACAATGAATCACAGCAAATACAAGTGGATGAAAATAAAGAGACAGAGGCTGAAGTGACTACATGCTCACAGTTAACAGCATATTTTCTCCCACCTTGCCAAGCAGCCTGCTAGTCTCAGCTCTAAACGGCAGGAGGGTGAAAAAAAAGGTTGGGGTCAACTTCATCTCTCTGCTCATATTCTCCACTCTATCTCACCTCAATCTGGCCGGTGCAGACTCAGCCCTGGCCTGGAAAGTTTTCAATTCAGATTCCAAAAAAACAATCTGGTGAACTTCATTTCCTTTTCCCGAAGCTGAGCACAAACAGCCCTCGAGGGCAGTCCAGTGTTCAGTGTGTGGCATCAGTATAGAGAATCCTTAGAAAGGTTTTCTTTTCTTTTCGCCCTTATTCCCATCTATTAGCAGTAGGTATATTACATATCATATCAGCATTGTGATAACAACACAGAGCTGTTAAATTACATCATCAGAGGTATTATACTATTATTATAGTCACATATTTCCTTCTCTTTCCATTTTTTGGAAAATATGATCATTTATTGGAGTTCTTTTTATTTTATTCTCTTCAGTTTTTATTTTTTGTGCCAAGGGATGAGGGCTTGTCTGATTATTATGATTGCCATATAACTACAAACACCTTTAAGTCCCACCTATAAAAATTTTATCTTGTTATAGCGATGACCAATGTTTGAAAATGACAGATTGTGATTTTCCACAGGTTTATGTCCTTGACTTTACTTGGTTCTATCAACATATTAAACTGCTTAAGGTTTCCAAACATGGCAAAAACAGCAACTTAACCTCCTGTTCAAAAACCTAAACAGGCTGACGTTGGTGTTAATTGAATGAGACTGTTCTCTTACAGGCAAATACTCATCAGATTACTGAAATGAATTTATTAAAAGCATGTTTTTTTTAAACTAATTTGTTGATGTACCCATCCAGCCAACAACAAACTTATGTCCCCAACACTGGTACATCTTTCATTTCTGAGCTATTGGCCTAGACGACAAGAAAAAGAAAATTAGCCGACGGTTATTCCTCTGTGAAATATTTAAGCAAATAGCCAAACAGAGAAATTACATGTTTATTAGTGAGGTTTGTAGAAGCTGAAAACGTGCTAACCAGGAGCTGGCTGCAGAGTCATTTCACCATAGCCTACAGAAATGTTGATGGTGGTTTAAATTTTCTCTTGTAAGTGTTGGAAGCAGAAACCTAATAAGCTTATTTCCCCAAATGCTGAATTATTTATTTCACTGGGTAATCCCTTTAAGGTCAGAGTTAAAAAAAAATGACGGGGGAACAAAGAAAGGAACATTAAAACAGACACACAGAGACAAACTGCAACAGACAAAAATACAACAGCGCACAACAAACATAAACATCAAGCATGCCAAAGAAAAAAGATATTAAAAAAAGATAAAAGATATACTCTAACTTACAGGTATAGGCAGACAGATTTTCTACCTCTTGGCCTTTCCCTGCATGCTTCGCTGTGATGGGTGACTTGATCCTTGTTCCAATCTGAGCACACTCCTCTCGGAGGAGCGGCGATGTCACTGGAACATAGAGGAATAGAAATCAAATCTGTTTGAACTGAGAGCAAGCGAAGGAGAGTGTGCCAGAGGACAAGGCAGTGATAACGGATAAAAGAGGAGGGGGAGTATAAGAATGATATTTGAATTATGTAACTCAGCTCAGGGATGATTTGGACGATTCCACCATTGACACCAACATCATTTCTCATTACCTGAGAGCCGTGTGTGCCCGGCGCTTTGCCTCGTCCCGTGAGTCATCTCACACCCAGCTATCAGAGAAGGAGAGAGAGTGAGAGAGGAGGGGGAAAGGAGCAGAAGGAGGTGAGATGTTTGCGAGATTAGAGACAAAAAAGCTGAAAGCACACATTTGTGTATACTAGAAATATAAGAAGCAGGATGTTCACACATTTAAATCACAGTGGAACACTGACTCTGTTCGCGGGTATTTTACATACTGTAGACGGCCTCATATACACTTCAATCTGCTGCAGACAAAAGCCTGAATATTATGTATGCATGCGTAACATGCGTGTCAGAACAGAACTGACAAGGTACTTAAAATAAATCACAGCAATACTTGCTGTGTTCATTGCAGATCAAAAGAGGAATAAAACCTTTTGCCCGTGTACCTGTGTCAGCATATTACATGTTCAATATGATGTTTTAAAATCAATAGCTTATAGATCGTGCATATTTTGTATGGGATGTATTACTGTATATAAATTTGAGGGGCTAGTGATAACATGTGAAAGACTTCTTCAAAGTAACAACCATGTAAATGAAACATTACTAAGTTATTAAAACACCCAACCTATCAAGCTGTCCTACTTGTTGTTACTGCGCATGCGTACAACTCAAAACGGCCATGTTTTTGGTGTTAATAGTACACGCCTATTATTTGATTCTACCCTGATCTCGTGCGTGCGAAAAACAGTTAGTATTATATGTTTTACTGCTTTGTTACAGTTGATACTTGTTTTCCTTAAGCTTTTGTCAATTTGTTAACTTTTCAAGCTAACTTGTGTTTTTGTGCAAATACTCCAATTTGGAGTCTCAATTGAAGTCATATTTCAAGTCTTGATTTAGTACATCTTAACTTCTGTAAACTGGCATACAACGTAAACCTTGTCAATTAATGTTAGTCCTCCTGCCTAAATAAATCCATGCAGGAAGCACGTTTTGATAAGTGTGATTTGGCCATCAGAACATCCTACCTATAGATATGTACGATGGAGGCAAAAAAAACCCACGTAAGGTAGTATATTGTGATAAGGTAGCACGGACTGATAGACATGACTATAAATTTACGCTACGCTAGGATGTTTTGACAAAGTAAGACGTTTTGTCAGAACACTGGAACACAAAAAGAAATAGGAATTAACATTTTTTAGATGGGTTATTGTGTAAAAAAAAAAGGGGGGATATTAATATCGTAAAAGTGAGGTCAGTTGAAGCAATTAAAAAAATGATCCATTTTGCATCTAATGGAGAAGGTGTGCCACACTAAATCAGAGATCTCATTTAAAGAAAAATGTACTTTTTGATGTACAACATGAATAAATGTATATCCAATATCAAATGAGAGATGCATGTATGTGATACATTATTAGATATGGTATTAAATGCCAGCTACTGAATGAGTTTATAATACTATCAAGCGGAATTTTATAAGATTCTAATATTTGATATAACAAGTGTTTTCCCATGATTCCTGACTACTGAGTTGTCAAATTTCATACATTTTTTGCCATTTCTAACCAAAGTAACTGCTCCTAGTGGATCCTTAGTTGGGCTTAGAAGCATGTAAAAGCACTTATATTTCCCAGCCTGTGAGTACTCAGTTGTATGTTTAATTTAAAGCATGTATAATAAACATATCAGAAACCGTGACATCACCGATGCTTCTTGTGGTCCTTTTGTAGGCTGTGTTTTGTTAAAGTTATGGGAAAAAAAGGGAGCATGATCTTCCCAGCACAGGGTGCACGAGCACCCAGATACTTACACACAACATGCTTGAGTTGTGCCAGTCTTCTCCTCTGCGCTGTGTCTGTGTGGGGGTGGCTGGTGCATGACACATTGCTTAAAATAGACATTCGCTCTCTTTACAAGAGGAGGTTGACAAAGAAGTGAGAGGGAATGAAAGCTCATAAGGGAGCGAGAGAGTGTGACAGACAGAGGAAGACAAAGGGAGGAGAAAGAAGGAAAGTCAGGGAGGAAGAAAGAAAATCCTTCCACTGCACCAAACTAGAAGTCAGAGGAAACAAACACATGCAAGTTTGAAATGGAGATGGAAAAGGAAATGAATATTTCAGGTGAAGGGAATGAGCCAGATATCCAAGAATGTAAATGGGGACAGATGTGCGCAGCAGAGATGCAACACATTTAGAAGACACATAGAGAACCCAGCATGATTTCTGCATTTCGTAATAACTGGAAAAAAATCTGCGCAGTATGTATTAATTCACTGTATTGATTCACTGTAGCTCCATCAGTATGTCCTGAGTCAAAGTTGTGATAAAATAGTTTAATCATTTCAGCTAATCATCACTGACATCTACCTAGCAAAGGCTATTTAAGCCTTTTATATAAGAGAAAAGGTATGTACGCAAAGACTGCACAAGATGTATTAATAATAATACAGTACGCAGTACATGAGCATCAAAGACCTGACAGCTCTATGTCAGAAGAGACTTAACTTAAGATGACTTTGGATCTAGAAGATGAAAAAAGTTCAAGTGAATCACAGTTTACGGTGGATGGATGTTAGTACCTTCCGTCATTGTTAATCTGTACTCACCAACACCTAAAGTTGAGCAGTCAGCAGAATGAAGCTGGCTCGTGTGTCATCTTTCTCTCTCTCCTCCCCCTTCCCCCACGTCTTCCCAGTGCTTAAGATAAGTGACAAGGCATCAGAGCCAAAGAAGTGCTTTAATACCAAGAGAAAACTCTGTGCCCATACGTGGGCGGATGCCTCCATCTGCGTGTGCAGTTAAAAATGTGGGTCTGTGTGTGTGTGCGAGCCTACATCGGTTACAGCGAGAGCTTAATATTGCGATGTGCGTGCGCACTTTACTCTTTCTCTCTGTAAGAGTGCACAAGTTTGCTTCTACTGTAAATATTTGTGTAGAAATGCCTATATGCGTTTGTATGTTTATGTGTGCCCTCTAGCCTTGGTAAGGTTATCCATCACTCCAAGCATCAGATGACATCACCACCGACCCCCATCCTGCAACTCTTACCCTTCCACCCACCACACACTCTCCACTCTAAAGGCTTGGCTGGATTCCACCACGCACCTTCCTCCTCCCCCTCCTCCTCCGTTTCTCATGCCCTGCATTTAACTGAACTCTGGTTCTGTGGTGAAAGTGCTGAATCATCACTGCTGGCCTCACTATATACAAGGCTGACATGGGTCAGGTGTAGGGTGTGTTCGTGTGTGCCTGCGCGTGTCTATTTTTCTATATGGGGTGGCGGTTTTGTAATCAATACAGTGTCACCTCTCAGCCCTTATACTCTTGTAAGGCTGTAACTGCATTAATGAACTGTGATCCACAGAGGGTACATTATGATGGCTGCTAACTTTATTATTAAACCTCATGGTATGGCCCTGGGAGAGAACTGCAGCTTCAACTGAACCCTTAATGGACGGGCTTTTTTCCCCCCATTCTCCTAGTAATATAGACTTTGGACAGTGGGTCTTAATTGCCAATCAATGTAAGGGGAGGTGTTGTTAACACTAGGAGGGATTTTTTTTTTTTATCCTGAACTGAGTTCAGCATGCCATCGTTGGACCTTAATGGATCAGCTAACCTCCGAGACTAAAAACATTATTGCTTTCATTCTATTTGAGCCATAAAACACTTTCAGATACAACTTGAGCCGAGGGTGGTGATAACGTAGATGTTTTAAAACATCCCCATGGCCTGAAATCAAACCTAATGTGTCACAATTAGACTGACATGATGGGAAACCCATTTCAGAGACAATGTTCCTTTAAATCTCGGTAACATGAGGTGACACAAGTGCTGCAAAGTGATTGGTATTGTGGTGAAGCACAAGTGAGGCCAGTCTTGATTACTAGTACTTCTAGCTACTTCCTGACTGGTATAAATGAATAACGCACGTCTATTTTCATCTTTACTTATAACCCAGACTTCACCTGAAGTATCGCTTAAGCCCATAAATATTCTTAAAGAGAAATCCTCCAGCAGGTTGATTAAGCTGACTTTGAACTCAGTATAAATGTTTATATAGTGTTGAGACAGACCCATTCCTGTCGCTCAGTGTCTCTTGCAAATATTGCCAAATACAAAACACTTTAATTTAAATTATGTAACTAATGCTTCTCTTTTTGTGAAATATTAAAACATGTATTTGCATTTTGCCCTCCACACATGGTGTGTGGGATTTTATAAATTCAAATAGAGTTGCTGGATTTTTTTCAGCTTTTGCAAAGACCTTTTCATTATGGAGCAGATGTGGTGATTTTCACAGTACTGTATACTATTATGCATATCTGATGCTGAAGGCACTCTCTCTTCTTAAATACCCAAGCATATAAATGAATGTATTTATCAAAGCAGTGCGGGGCTGCTCTGTTTAGCTGTTGTTTGAAATGAATATGTTAAGTGGTAGAAAGCACACAGTGGGTTATGACATTTCATTTACATTCGGCAGTATGAATTTAAATGCTTTTTCACCCAAAACATAATGCATTTTAAATTCACCCACAATGCTCCCACAACGGAGACTATATATTATGAAGTTTCTGACCTTATAGAGATGCTAGATAGATTTCTTTCTTTCTAATTCGGTATTCAGCAGCCTCGTTCATGCTGTTCAGGTTCAAAATTTTAATTTGATGAGCGGCGACAAGGTGCTAACACCTTGCTGAAATCGGCTGCTCAAACAAGGTTTAAAATATCAAGCGGCATACATGATTGCTTACTGATTCCCATGTGTCCCCAGTGATAATGGGGTGGTTGCATTTGATATTATGTTTATAATTACAACCGTCACGGCACATTAACTAAGTCATTGTTGATGAAATTAATATCAGAATAAGAGTGTGGCCAGTTTAAAAATAGCATGTGGTGTTTGCATATGGTTCATCGTATAGTGTAGCTCTGACTTTGCTATGATTTGTATTTCACTGGATTTGTTGTAGTACTTTAATCGCCTATGCTTACCAAATTATCTGAGATTACACGTGAAGTAAACACCAGAACAAAACAAAATGCCTTGTACAGTGTGTGATTACAAATCAGATCTACATATCAAATTTGTTTAAGCTGCATAAAAAATTGATCCCTTCCCCACTTACAGGAAATAAACACAGGAATAGAAACCAGGACTGAGGCTGAAGTTGACTTGCTGATAGAGGTGTTTGTCTTTCCAGCCCATTACAGGAGAACCTGTTTGGAGAAATCTACTAGAAGCAAAACAATTTGTGAAGAACCTCATTTCATAACTTAATGGGCCATATCATTACATTGATTCTTGATTTGCTCACACACTGAACTGTTTCCTCATGGTTCAGCTGACATGATTGCACACAACAAAGAGAAAAATGTGGATTGTGTAAATGGTTTGCACTTGTCTTGTCTACAGAAACGAGCGGCTGTCTCTTCTTCCAACAATTTGTATTTCCATGTGTAAACTTCATCTGCCGGCCACCCGGTTACTCGCAGTACAGTGAATTAGAAAAAGGCCACTGGTAATGCGCTCTTGTGGGTGCGTCTGTTCTACAGTGTCTGGCTTTGTGCATGCATGCATGCACGAGTTTCTGCATAAAGTACACTGTGTGCAATATGACCTTAGTCAGTGTACTCCAGCTGCCCCTGCAGCATGTTGCATGATTGGTGTGTTGAGTTAGTCTGGTCAGGAGAGCAGCAGCTGTTTGGCGGTCTGGTCGGCTTCTTGAGAGGAAGGCATATGTGGGTCTGACTGGCCAAGCTGTTCAAGAGGCACACCAGAATGAACCTTTGATAAGGTTAGACACAAACAGGAATTGCAGTCACCAAGGCACAAGATGTATACCGTGTGTGAAGAGAAAAAAGATAATTAGAAGTGTTTTGGAATATATTGTCAAGTTATTTTGGGCCACGCTAATAGGAAACAATTAAAACAATGTTTGTTTGGTTTTTTAGCATTTTAAGCACACACTGCAATGCACTGCAAAGACATCTCAAAGTTCAGTGAAGGTTTTAAGGGCCATGAAAGGCCTCAATAGCTGCAAATTTGTTCAAATTACATACAAATCTTATTAGTTAAAAGAATAGCAGTCATCTCCAGCTGTTATCCCAACAGTACGGCAATAAAAAGAAACTGACTTTAAAGTTTGCTCATTAAAAATGCATTTTTTTTCTGTTAGCATCGGAAATGCCAAAACACAACAGTAAGTAAAGCCCACCGGACATGGAAAAAAGAAAAAAAAATACCACGTACAGCAAGTTAACATTTCAGAAAAATGAAAACCTCGGTATTGAAGAGTCACAGCTCATTTGTGGAGGTGCCGTTTTTTTTGTTCTCAAAGGAATCAGGCAAATCCACACTACAGGAAATAAAAAGTCCTATAGTAGGAATGATTTATTACTAGAAAAATATGTGACAGCCTTGCTCACCTAAAAAGTCAGAGCCCCCATTGTGGTGCAGTATTAAGATGCACTTCATAAAAGCAGCCACTCTAAAATACTCAGAGACAGAAGAAGAACGCTCCGGACCCCCAACATTCCAGCATCAAAACCATCTCCTGCCTCAAGTCATTTCATAAAATGGCAGCGATAAAGAGATAGACTGCTCTTTATTGTTTTTAGATTGCGGGCACTTTGCGAACTCTGCTCGCCTGTGTCTAGAATAATGTAAATATTTCACAGCTATATGCCTGCTAATACATAAAACAGATATATAAGTCCAATAAAGCTGCATAACTGTTTGCGCCTGACTTCCCCGGAGGGTCCAGACACTTTAGCAGGAGGGGATATTCCCCACTCAGCTGACAGTGGGGACACTGAGACTTCCCTGATGAATGGTACACACCTGCTGCAGTTCCATGGCCGTCTTTTTGATAAGTAGCTTAAAGCATATAGCAGAAGCTCATATCCTTTAATAAAAGAACAACTGACACATGAATATATGACTGTGTTTGGATCTTTTTATGAGCAACTTAATAAGGTGCTGCTTATACTATATGTTAAAGATCTTCTTTGGATTAGAATAGAGAAGACGTGTGAACTAAAATCCTTTTTGCTTCTTGGTCAGCTGTCACGTAGGTATAGCTGGTATGCATGCAAGCTCATGCTTGTAAACAAAGAGAAAAGGAAATGAGTTTGTTCAACTCATGCTTTGTGGCGCTCACTCCAGCTCATAACCAATAAGGCACAGAACAGAGGAGTATATTGTTGCTTACTGCAATGCAATTGCCCAGGACATCAAAAAACAAAATGCGGCAATCAGAGTGGATGACATCTCTTGGAATTACTATAAATACCAGCAGCAGACAAATCACTCATTAGGAAGATGATGATGGGGGGCGGGATTGAGGGGTATTCAGATGGACTTGTGGTGGGAACACAGACAAAACAATGGGCTTGAATAGAAGAAGAAGATTAGCATCATTACCAGTGTCATTCACTTTGTTTTGCTTTGAAAATATGACAAGGAGAATGAAATATGAATTTTCTGAACTGTTCTGAGAAATGTTAGGCATACATTAAACCGCACTTGAATGCAAGGGTAAAAAAAAAAGTGACAGGAAGCTAAATTTGTGCTCATGATGCATTTTGTTTTTATAATTAGTTCTGTCATTTTGAGAGTTTCAGAAATTTCCATAAACTTGTAAACTTATTTTAAAAATTGCCCACAAAG